GCCCTCCAGGAATTGAGTTTGACATCCCTGCCTTAATACATTGAGTTGTTGTCATGTGATTGGCTGATTGGAATTTGCTTTAACGAGCAGTTGGTCAGGTGTACCTAATAAAGTGGCCGGTAAGTGTATGTTATTTTTGTGATTTTTTTTTTTTTAAGGCTTAAGATTGCAATATATTACCCTTTTTACTTAAAACTGGACAAGACACAGTAAAGTGACAAGAGAATTTAGGATTAAGAAAAGGAAGACAAATTTAGGGCAAGAAAAGGTCTGAGGTGAAAAAAGAGGACATCAAGAGTGATTCAAAAAAAGAGCAAAAAAGAATACACAGGAAGAATATCGAGATGATTTGAGAAGAAGCAATAAAGGAAGGAGAGAAAGAATGGTAATATTGGAGTAAAATTAGAAAAGAAGGTCATATGAGATAAAACAGGAGTAGGATGCCAGATGAGAAGATGCTATTAGATGATGCAATAAAAGCCCAAGCTGTATGGTGCGAATTTAATAAGGTTGCTTCTGTTGGTGTGAGCGGTGTAACTGCATCAGCTTCTATTGTTTACAATCGGGGGTTTATTGCCTGCGTTGCAGTCCGATAAGAGAGCTGCAGTTTGTCTGAACCATGCCAGCACCCTGACTCAAGGAGAACGCTCACTCACTCAACAGCATTTTGCCTGACTGTCAAAACACTTTAGATACAGCCCAATGCCTCCAGTCATGTTCATTTGGGCATTCTTGACGTCATCACATCATTTGAAAACCAAAACAAAACCAACAAATCCATCCAGAGAAGGTGCTACTTACCCACAGGTTTGGTTTAAATATAACAAATGGGGTTAATGCATATGCTTTGCGGCAATCACATCTAGCATATGTCAGTTGTTGAGATCGCAGTGGAAGAGGTTTGTGTACCATATGCCATGTGAACTGAGGGCCTGTGGTGCCATGTGGCATTCAGTTGTAGCCTGATGGCAAGTCATAGCATGCCCTGTAGAACGATTTGTTACTAAACAATAGAAGAGAGACCCAGAAAACCTCTTTTATGAGAGAGACCCACAATATTAGGTGTTTTCAGACTTGAAACACAGGTTCATTCTTAAGTAGGCCAGAGCTGTGTGAGTAAATCTGACTCCCTTGATCTCAAAAGGTCTAGCAACAAAACTTTTAGTTTTGTGGGTTAGTTTGCCCCCCTCACATCCTGGTTTAAATCCTAGTCACAGTGAGTCATGTAGAACTAGGTTATATTGGTCCTGTGAATCGGATGGAGCCAGCTAGTCAGAGATATGTGAATAAACTTCACTCCCCTGGTTGTAGACTTTAGTGTCCTTGTTAGTGTACGGTACCTGATGCACATCTCGTGTTCATGTTTTGTCGGATTAGTTCCGGGTGTGTTTTCTGTTCTTCATCCAAGTTGCTTCATGCAATCTCTAACATTTACACTCATTCATGAAACATAAGCAGAGTGAATTCCAGTGTAAGCCCATAAGGGAATGTTCCTACACAGGAAAGGTTTCATGAATGATTGAAAGGAATTGTCCTGCTCATGGTCTCATGTTCTCAGTTGCAGTCCATCCCCTACACGTTTTCCCCTACACAAGTTTTGATGTCACTTGGGGGTCAGTAGAGCTATTGAGTTAGCAAGATGAATTAGCATGAGGGCATCCCCTCTATTATGTTACCACCCTCTGCTTACCTTATCCCTGCTTTGCTTTGAAATATATGCTGTGTCATTGTATGTGTTTGTGTGTGTGTGTGTGTGTGTGTGTGTGTGTGTGTGTGCGTGCGTGCGTGCGTGCGTGCGTGCGTGCGTGCGTGCGTGCGTGCGTGCGTGCGTGTGTGTGTGTGCGTGTGTGTGTGTGTGTATATATGTATTGCTCTTTCCTTTTGGTTGATTCATGTCTAGGTACTGAAACCTCAGGGAAGTTTGTTTTACTCCCTGTCTAAGTGTTCATCACAACTTGTCTCAGTTCACACAGCAATTGGGATTCACACCTTCTGGAAGGAGATTCCCACAGCGCTTGGGAGGGAGTCACTTTGAAGTGTGTGAGATAAAATGCTGGGAAAACCACCATATTTTGTCTGTCTATTTACATTTTTGGAATTCGTTTTATAGGAATTGAAGGGAAAAGGAGGATGGGTTTTGGCGCAAGACATGTTTCCATGACGTATTGCTATTTTCAGACCAACGCAACAGCAATTTCCCCATTCTCCTTCACGTTGTTTAAATTGCAAATCTATTTGCGCCACTTTGTGGACTCATGGGGGTTTCGGTCTAGAAAAGAGGTGTATTGTTAAGGCACATTGTTGGCGCTTTGCTATTTTGAGGAACTAAAATAGACTGAGAGCTGAGAGCAGGTCTAAAGTCAAGTGCATAGCGCGTTAGTTGTGAGCCTCACTTACACATTGCTTAAAACATACAGGATGAACAGCAACATGCAAATATCTTTACAATTGATAAAGAATTAAATAATTAAAATAAAAAATATATATATTACTTTCCATATAAATATAAAAACCACTGCCTCCATGCCTTATTCATCTCAGGGGGCTTTTTTTTTAGTTCATCATGACAATTTGTTTTAGTATAATGTTGTTATTATTAGTAGTATTATTTATTAAATGCATATTCATATTTGTTTTATTAAAAACAAGCTTAGATTTGTTCACCTGTCAGGTTTTGGACCGTATAGGGCATAGCATGTGTCTATACATGGATATAACTCAGTTGTTTGACCACACTTTGTTATTATTGTTCATTTATTCTTTTGCTGAAAATTAGAACTGAATTTAGAAATAGTTTTGAAACAAATCTTTGTGCTTAACAAACTACACATTTCCTCATCTATGAAAGAGTGAAAGTGAAAGTGAAAGGAAAGGCTGAATGGAGGAGGCTCATTCTCTCATTCCCGTACTGCAGATAGTCTGTTTAAAAGTTTTCTCTTAGCTAGTGAAGCGTTTAGTTTTTCCACTTACAAAGTCTGCCATGTAAATAGCAAATGCGCCATGGCACGACGCAACTGACTCTTAAAAGGAATGAGAAATGAGACTCTGAATGATTTAATTCCAAAACACACCTATAACTCATTAAGAGAATGAGCTCAACCCTTTTAGACCATGCACCGCGGCACAGAGCCTATTTTCCATCCTTAAAATAGCAAAAATGGATTCAGATATGCCCCTAATGCTTTTGTGCCCTGTGCTTCAAACTTTGCGACTAGATCATTAAAATAGAGCCCATAGACTCAATAGACTGATTTCACATGGCCGCCATTTTAAAAGCCAAATCAAGGCTGTGGTGGGAAGAAACCCAGAAGTATCGACTGAAGTCACACAGGAACGTCGAGTACCTAGCTGGATATCTTATCAGCCAAGAGTGACACAAATGTATAATTTAACCACCTTGAAAGTGACCTGAAGCTCCAATCTTAATGGATATTGAAAATAAAAAGTGATATCGGACCGAATTTTTAGCTAAGTTAAGTTAGTTAAGGGAAATTGCACTAGTTAGCTAACATTTTCTTTCCCAAACACACACTTTAGATGCCATTTATCAAACTCAAGTTAATGAACTGAATCTTTCACTATATTAGACTTGTCATGATACTGAATTTCGGTTGCAATCTGTACTGAATTTTAAAAAAATGTATTATTGAGCACGTTCAGTGTTCAACAGAAATGGCCGTGAAGGTCATCAGTTCACTGCACTTCACCCATGTTTACCAAATGCAAACACAGATGAGCGATTTGCTGATGACTCGACTGATCTTCGCGGCTATGAAACGTTTCACTTTCCCCAGATCTGTTCTTGCACTTGGTGAAGAGTGGTGAACTGATGACCTTCACGGCCAATCACAGTCATTTCTGCTGAGCACTAGTGAATTCTATGACCAATCAGTGGTGTTTAAGAACGCGCTTAAATGTTAGCAGGAAATGGACTTTTTAAAAATTTCAGTACTGGAACAACACTATTACAGACAACACGAGGGTGTGCTTAAGAGGACTGCATTGTTTTATCACTCACCTGGTTACCTAGGCTGAAGCAGGAAAGCATCCCCACGGTGTTTACCTAGTGTCATGAACTGAGACATAGGAGGACAAAATAAAGAGATTGTGATGTTGTTTCATGCCTAATATGCATGTAATTGTTTAAAGTAAGCTGAACTGAATGATATTAAAGTGATGTTTACACCATATCTGCACTTTGAAATCGCAGCAACAGCTGGAGGTTTGTAGTCCACAGCATGTTGTTGGAATGTTTACAGTGCTGATCCTAAACTTCCAGGTTTCTTCCCACCGCAGCCTTGCTTTCATTTTTTCAGCCATGAGGATGAATAGAATCATGAGATAACCAAAACTCTGACCGCAGTATTACCAAAGAACCGATGAGGCTGAAGAGAAATAGACAAAGAAATAAAAACACTGCTTGACTGAGTTTCAAAGCATGTTCCATTAATCAATTTCAGCTACTCATCTCGGACAGCATGCAGCTTCTCTCCTCAGGCACATATCAATAAATCAATTAGTAAGATGTTAGTTAGCGTTTTCTTTCAGTCAGTAATGCTGCTGCTAATCTGTTAGCTTTGCAACACGTTTAGCTCTAATTCAAAGGCCAGGCTTGCAGGAAGTTTCCTCATGGAAGGGAATTGCCACAGGGCTCGAATCATAAATATGCACTCAGTCTGGGCGAGCTGATCCAAGAAATACTGCTCAATAAACACACGGGCCAAGGATGTTAGAAATCTTATTTATTTTCTCTCTGAGCTTCTTCCGCCTTCCTTTCTCCATGGGTGTTTCGCACTCGTGCTCAAATGTCACCTCCGATTTTAATTTGTAGTACATTGGATTGATGCTCACCGATTGTTATGTTCACACATTTGCTTCCACTCGGGAGGATTTGATGATTTGGCCGATAACATGGCCATGGAGACATTTTGTTTTGCTTCCTCCTGTTGTATTTTTCACTGTTTCTTCATTTTTTTAGTAAATATCTTCTGCTTTCACAGACATTCCAGGGATCCTCTCTGCTATCAAAGACCAAGAAAAAGAGTAAAGGTGATCACTTATCTTCCTTTTTTCCTCATGTTTGGTAACATCTTGTTTGGTAATACACTGCCTGACAAGTCTTGTCATGTATTCAAGTTTTAGGAACAGTAAATAATAACTTGACTTCTAGGTGATCATTTGATATTAGAAGTGACTATCAGTCTTAAAGGCAAAGGCCTCTAGATTACACTTATTTTACCAAAATGAAATATGATCATGCTTGATTTTTATTTATTTAATTAGGACAGCAAGGTCTGACTTTGCTAAGACAAAAGTTATGTCACTTAACACAAATAATGTACAGTATAGAATATAAACCCATGATGCAGTGGAAAATGTATTAATATTGTGTATGACTCCCATGAGCTTGAAGGACTGCATCCATACATCTCTGCAATGAGTCAAATAACTTATTAATAAAGTCATATAGAATGGCAAAAAAAGTGTTCTTGCAGAATTCCCAGTGTTCATCAATATTCTTTGGATTCATCTTCAATGCCTCCTTCATCTTACCCCAGACATGCTTAATAATGTTCATGTCTGGTGACTGGGCTGGCCAACCCTGGAGCACCTTGACCTTTTTTGCTTTCAGGAACTCTGATGTGGAGGCTGAAGTATGAGAAGTAGCGCTATCCTGCTGAAGAATTTCCCCTCTCCTGTAGTTTGTAATGTAATGGGCAGCACAAATGTCTTGATACCTCAGGCTGTTGATGTTGCCATCCACTCTGCAGATCTCTCCCACACCCCCGTACTTAATGTAAACCCAAACCATGATTTTTCCTTCACCAAACTTGATTGATATTTGTGAGAATCTTTGGTCCAAGCGAGTTCCAATAGGTTTACTGCAGTATTTGTGATGATTGGGATGCAGTTCAACAGGTGATTCATCTTTTCCAAATTGTCAACTAGAAGTCAAGTTATTAATTTTAGCTCTTACAACTAGGATCGACGACAAGACAATTGTCAGGTAGTGTACATTTTAAATATAATTTCTATCATACAGCATTGCTTAAATTGAACCTCTACAGTTCCAAAACTATTATGACAGAACAATACATAACACATCTTTGCAAAAATGGTAAAAAATAAATAAATAAAATCACAAACCAATGTTCAATATAAATGAAATATAGTCAAGCAATCGATATATTCCAGAAATCATTTCTATTCAAAAGTCTTGGATCTTCTGCCCACTCACCCCCTCACATTTATAATTGTTCTAATAAAGCAAAAAGCCATAAGAGGCTGTGCCATTTTTCTATGAGTAAGAGGTAAGCCTTAGTCATGACACAAAGTGGAGGTTGTTTATAGCTGCTGTGGAATATAGCAATATGGCTTTTTATAGGAACTGTTCTCCCATGAAAATTGTTATTTATTCGCCTGTATATTGTGTTCCTGATGCACAAGACTTTCTCTCGTCAGATGAACACAAAATGAGATGGTCTCATTGCTTTCTTTTCCATGCTATTAAATGGATTTTTGCCTAAAGAATGATAAAAAATAGTATAAAAAGGGTTCATATGACTGTTCTTTAGGTAATGTTATATTGCAAGCCTTCTGAAGTCATTATCATATCTGTTTATTATTTATATCATATCTGGTATCCCATTGATGATATTTAGTAGCCTTAACTAATATGTACTTGCATAAAAATACAATGTACTTATTGTGTTCTAAATATATTGTAGTGGTTTTGAGGTGGTATACTGGTAGGGTTAGGGACAGGTTTGGAGGGATGGGTTAGTTCAAGGTGTAAGGGATGGTCAACAGTGTAACTAGAAAAGTAAAATTTGTAGACAAACTTTATGGTGGCCTGAGAAAGCCTAGTTCGTTTGAAACAGTTGGCATAGAGAGCAAACTACATATATGTTAGCATGTTTCTAGAATACTAAGGCGTTGCTAGGGTGTTCTGAGCGGTTGCCAAGTGATTGCTAGGGTGTTCCAGGTCGAGATACCTACATACATGTATATGCTAACATAGTTTTAGTAAGGATTGGCATGTTTCTTGCTAGGTGGTTGATAGGTTGTTCTAAGGTGTTGCTAAGATGCTGCTTTGTTGTTGCTAGGGTGTTCTTAATGGTTGCTAAGGTGTTGTGGGTGTTTGCTAGGGTTTTCAAGGTGGTTGATAAGATGTTGCTAGGATGTTCTTAATGGTTGCTAGGGTGTTCTAGACTGTTGCTAAGGTGTTGCTAGGCAGTTGCTAGGGTGTTCTGAGTGATTGCTAGGGAGTTGCTAAGATGTTCTGACTGGTTGCTAGGCAGTTGCTAAAGCATTTGATAGGTGGTTTCTAGGGTGTTTCAGATTGTTGCTAATGTGTTGCTAGGAGGTTGCTACGGTGTTTTGAGCGGTTGCTAAGCAGTTGCCAGGGTGTTCTAGACGGTTGCTAAGGTGTTGCTAGGCAGTTGCTATGGTGTTCTGAGTAAATGTTAGGGAGTTGCTAAGGCATTGCTAGGGTATTTTAAGTGGTTGCTAAAGCATTGCTAGGCAGTTGCTATGGTGTTCTGAGTGGTTGCTAGGCAGTAGCCAAGACATTGCTGGGGTGTAGCAGGTTGTTGCTAAGGTGTTGTTATGGTGTTCTGAGTGGTTGCTAAGGCATTGTTATGCAGTTGCTAGGGTGTTCTGACAGTGTTAACAAGAACTAAACTCATAAAGAGGTGATATAAAGCCATTTGTGGTTAGTTCTTGTTAAATTATGGCCATATGATTGCTAAGGCATTGCTAGGCTGTTATTAAGGTGTTCGGAGGGGTTGATAGGCAATTGCTGGGGTGTTCCAGGTCATTTCTAAGGTGTTGCTAGGTGGTTGCTAGGGTGTTCTGAGTGGTCGCTAAGGGGTTGCTTAGGGTGTTCTATGGGATTGTTATGGTGTTGTTAGGTGGTTGCTAGGGTGTTCTGAGTGACTGCTAGGCAGTTGCTAAGGCATTGCTAGGGTCTTCTGAGTGGTTGCTAGGTGGTTGCTAGGTTGTTGCTATGTGGTTGCTAGGGTGTTCTGAGTGGTTGATAGGTGGTTACTAAGGCATTGTAATTTGGTTGCTAGGGTGTTGTATGAGTGTGTTTAAGGATGGGTTAAGGTGTAAGGGATGGTCAACAGTGTAATTAAAGGAGTACAGAAGTAAATATATGCAGGTATTTAATCAATCATTTGTACAACATAAAAACATCTATCTACAAAAGTAAGTACATATTAATTAAGGCCACTTAATATAAAGTGAGACTTTTTACTGTAGCCTTTTTACAGTTTATAACCATTAAATTTACTGCCATTTTGTACAGTTTACCAGGTTATAAACACATACTGTGGTCTTGTTTTCCAGCAGCTCCACTGTCCTCCATCAGTAAGAGAAGAATCTCCTGTAAAGACCTGGGTCGTGGAGACTGTGAGGGCTGGCTATGGAAGAAAAAGGACGCAAAGAGCTATTTCTCGCAGAAATGGAAGAAGTACTGGTTCGTTCTGAAGGATGCCTGCTTGTATTGGTACATGAACGAAGAGGTGAGAGTGTGTGGCTGCGTCGGGCCAATACAGTTGTCTTTGTTGTTTCTCATATCCACCGGCGCAGCAGAAAGCGTATCGATCTAGAGATGAGACTTTAATTGGTGCCGGCTTTACCCTCTTGTGTGGAGCAAGATTAATGCTCATCTACCACAACAAAACCCTGTTCTGCACACGCCGTTGCTGTAATGAAGATAAGAAACTTCTCAGAAACAAACACTCCCATTCTTGTTCCCTCGCTTCCCGTGCTTTTGATTAATTACCCTCAATGTCTTTGCCTTTTTATCGTGGCTTGGGCGCAGGATATGCCTGCCGTTCTGGGGGTTTCAGAGGGGAGGGGAGGGTTCTACTCGGCCTGGTTTTGGTCCACCAAGAGTCCGGCTTTACTATAATTGATGATCTTCTACTGTGTGGGTTTTGTAAACACAGACAGGCTTACAGAGAGCTGCAACAATTTATGCTTTTCATTTATTTATGCAGAGCTCCCGTCAGCAGCACTGTGCATTTTAGAGCTGGGGGGAAAAAAGTAATGGAATGGACCAAGAAAGAGAGAATGTAACCCTTAATGAGGACGTAATGACATTACAAAAGAGTTTAAGTGGGGTGAGGTTCACCAAATCCACTCTCTTTGTTGTGTCAACTTTTTAGGATGAGAAGGCTGAGGGTTTTGTTAGCCTTCCAGAATTCAAGATCGACAGAGCCAGTGAATGCCGGAAAAAATAGTGAGTACCTTTACAAACTTTAAAGTTATGTGATGTTACCTGGTGAATTCTTATTGTTCTTTCACTCCCTAGTGCGTTTAAAGCATGCCATCCCAAAATCAAGAGCTTCTACTTCGCAGCGGACGGTGTGGACGATATGAACAGATGGTTGAGTCGCCTCAACATGGCGGCCGCCGGCTATGCAGAAAGAGAGCGAATCCGTCAGGAACATGGTAAGGATTCAGGTAGTCCCAAGAACTTTGTATACCCCAATTGCAAAAGTAAGCTGCTTTCAGTGTAATTGAGTCATTTTTTTATTATAATTTTTTTAATGGGCATGGAAAACCTATTAGATGGGTTAAAATAATTTAATCACAGCTTTAAAAAAGCATTGCAAACCCAAGGTAAGCTCATACTCTTAAAAAGTTAATAATTTCAACCCAATTTGGGGTAAAATCAAGAAAAAACTAACAGCTGGGTTTATTTTTAAATGTCCCTTGAAATTAAAGTAAAGTTTTTTAGATGTTAGTATCAGTATTGTTAGTTTTTAGGATATCTATTAGCTTGTGTGCTCCCAAACAGTGACAAAATGTGTTTAGAATATATTAAACTGACAAAAACATGTAAAGCTTGTAGTATGTCACTTACACCTAAATGGACCAATGGTTTTAATCCATGACTAATCAAATTATAACCAATTAAATGCTCTCTAGTATCTGACATGCTCCTCCCCCCATGCTCCGTCAAGACGCTTCTCATTTGCTTTTCATTTGGTATGCTTGAGCTCAATCTCTTCCACTGGCAGAGCTATGATAAAACAAAACGTTATTAGCAGTTTTTTTAAGGGGAGGAGCTACACTATGTCCCACCCTCTTTTCATGTTTTGCTTGAAATTACATCAAACATCGAATTAAATGCACATTTCAAAGCACTTCACTGGACCTTTAAAATAAATGTATTAAACGGAATATACAGTAGTCCAACATTTGGGTTTGTCTATATTTTACTCAATGTGGAATTAAATAACCATGCATTTTTTAAAGTTGCTGGGTTATCATCACAACAAGAACTACAACATTCATTCTATGAAAAATTTAAAAACACAACCTAAATCTTTTTTACAATTTTTATTCCATAAATTGCACAATGGGAAAATAAAAGCCAAAAAAGCAACACAGGCTCATTGTGGACACTGCAGGTGCCCCTGTCTACATTTCTGGAGAGTGCGATTTATGTAGCCAGAGTTACATCGGAATGATGCTACGTTGTGGTATGATGATGTCCACGGTTTCTGTTCCTTTTTGCGATACCAGCTGACCGTTTACCTCCGTGTGGACTGCTTTTCCAGTGTTGCCAGTTTGCCCAATAGCTAGCCTCATACGTCGGCAGACTTGGTACGTGGAGCGGAGTTGACTGGGTTTGAGTCCGGTGAAAACGGTTCCAGAAAAAGTAAAAGAAATTAAGCAAATAAATAAACAGCAGGGTGAAAACATAGTAAACTCCCGCAACCGCAACAATTTTTTTCTAGATTGCTTTTGAAAACACTATCGCTTTGGTTTATGTAGGGCTTAATAGGCAGGGCACCTCATTTTACCGATCCCTCTCCTCACACGCACCCCCGCTCTTCACTTTCATCGGCAATTTCCCCACCATCTTTGTCCATGACTGCCCAACCCTCTTCATCCATGACTCCCCAACCATCTTCGTCTATGACTCCCCAACCCTTTTTATCCATGACTCCCCAACCCTTTTTTATCCATGACTCCCCAACCCTCTTCGTCTATGACTCCCCAACCATTTTTATCCATGACTCCCCAACCCTTTTTTATCCATGACTCCCCAACCCTCTTCGTCTATGACTCCCCAACCCTCTTCGTCCATGACTCCCCAACCCTTTTTATCCATGACTCCCCAACCCTCTTTTTCTATGACTCCCCAACCCTCTTTCTCCATGACTCCCCAACCCTCTTCGTCCATGACTCCCCAACCCTTTTTATCCATGACTCCCCAACCCTCTTTTTTTATGACTCCCCAACCCTCTTCCTCCATGACTCCCCAACCCTCTTCGTCCATGACTCCCCAAACCTTTTTATCCATGACTCCCCAACCCTCTTCCTCCATGACTCCCCAACCCTCTTCGTCCATGACTCCAAAACCCTTTTTATCCATGACTCCCCAACCCTCTTCGTCTATGACTCCCCAACCCTTTTTATCCATGACTCCCCAACCCTCTTCTTCTATGACTCCCCAACCCTCTTCCTCCATGACTCCCCAACCCTCTTTGTCCATGACTCCCCAACCCTTTTTATCCATGACTCCCCAACCCTTTTTATCCATGACTCCCCAACCCTCTTCAACTGCGACACCCCTACCCCGCCCTTCACTTTTGTCCGCTGCACCTCTCCCTGCTCTGGTAACAAGCCTCGTTACCCCGATCTATTCCAGGACCTCGTAATTTACAAATTAAGCACTGGGTTTAGGAAATGGGGTGGGTGGGTCAGTCAGTCAGTCAGCAATTCCGACAGCAAGCTTCCCTTGTCGGCTGAAGTGTATACTGTGCCTTCTAGTGGATTTAAGCAAAAGGAGGATGTGTGAGAGAAATTTGAGATCATCAAAAAGTGTACACAGTGGCCTCTGGTGGATTAGCAAAAAAAAAAAAAGGGGGTGAGCAGATGTACCTTCGGTTATATATTTCACAGTCTCCAGAAGTTAATGTAGACCTGGGTACGTATCTGCGATGAGCCTGGGTTGCAGAAAAGAAGGAAATGAGTCCTGTGACCTATGTACAACAAGCTGATAGACACAAATAAGTTATGCCCTTCTGGCGGATCATGCTACATACTAAGTTTCTCCAAAACATATTCATCCTTTTATCATTCAAAATTAGCCACTAATAAGAATTCAAAATGCTTTGTAAGTGTCTGACTCCTTTAGACGTCTTAAAATTAACCTTTCTTCTCCTGCTTTTGACATCACACCACAGTTGCAGACCTAGAGCAGCTCCTCACGGGAAAACCTACACATGATCTCAGAGGCTATAATTTAATAATTGTTTATTTTATGGAAATGTTTTGCAACAAGCTAATGACTCCCTGCATTCCCCTTCATCCCCTTCCAGCAGACTACTGGAGTGAAAGTGATCATGAAGACAATGAGACGCCCTCGACGCCCAAGCAAGACAGCCCACCACCCCCTTATGACACATACCCACGGCCACCCTCAGTGAGTCAGCATCCAGCACACACACACACAAACATAAACATGGCTCTTCTCGTTGTGTAATCCCACACAATGGCACGGCTTTATCATGCTTGACATTTGGCATTGGTAAAAGAGCTGTTTTGTAGTACCGTCCCTCAGACCTGGCCTTACCACGTCACTGCATGTGTGTGTGTGTGAATGAGTCAGACCACCTCATCTAAAAGCCCACTGTTGAGATGTGCTGAGATTGAGTCTTATCTCTAAGTCTCTCTACATATCTTTCAGTCTTTGTGAGTCACTGCTACTGTCGCTGATAGACAGTATCTGATATCGATTTCCTTTTTGGTGAGTCTCTCAAAATCTATCAAGGATCGAGTGATCACGCGATATTTCAATCCAAAGAATTTTTAAAAATACAAAAATTGCTATTTTCATTACTATAAATTAAAAATGAGGTTTGATGTAAATTATATTTCACTGTAAATTAAAATATATTTAAGAAGAGAAATCAGTTTAGAACATTCAGATTTTTTTTTTGTAATTTTTATTGTCATTTATACTGAATGTCAATGGCTGTTTTTCCAGCATTCTTCAGTATATTATCCTAATTTACATTTTTGGGTGAACTGCCACTTTAAATCCCAGTCAATCGTCAATGATAAATAATTACAGTATAAAGATGATCAGGATAAACAGATCCAGCAATATATATTGCAATAATAGAAAAACGGTCTGTGTTATATTAAGATAAAACCCTATTGCTGTTCTAGAGCTGGTAAAATAGCAGTTTATTATTAAAAAATGTTATTTTTACACATAAATATCAGCTTTTGGAAAAGGACACTCTAGTATATTTACAGTATATACACTCACCGGCCACCTTCAGAACTGCCTTAATCCTACGTGGCATAGATTCAACAAGGTACCGGAAATATTCCTCAGAGATTTTGGTCCATATTGACATGATAGCATCACGCAGTTGCTGTGGATTGGTCACAGCAAAAAGTGCTCACAGCAAAAGTGCTCTATTGAATTTCGATCTGGTGACTGTGAAGGCATTTGAGTTCGGTAAACTCATTGTCATGTTCAAGAAACCAGTCTGAGATGATTTATAACATGGACACCTCGGACCAGTTTTGTCCAGTTTTGGTGAGCCTGTGCAAATTGTAGCCTCAGTTGCCTGTTCTTAGCTAACAGGAGTGGCACCCAGTGGGGTCTTCTGCTGCTGTAGCCCTTGCGCTTCAAGGTTTGACATGTTTTGCATTTAGAGATGCTCCTCTGCATTCTTGGTTGTAACGAGTGGTTATTTGTGTTACTGTTGCCTTTCTATGAGCTCAAACCAGTCTGGCCATTCTCCTCTGTCTAATCTCTGTAAACGCTAGAGATGGTTGTGCATTAAAATCCCAGTAGATCAGCAGATTCTGAAATACTCAGACATTTGAACTGCTCAGTTTGAACTTTAGCAGATCATTTTGACCATGCCTACATGCCTATATGCAATGAGTTGCTGCCATGTGATTGGTTGATTAGAAATTTGCGTTAACAAGCTGTTGGACAGGTGTACCTGATAAGTGGCCGGTGAGTGTATAGCACACTATCGCTGCGCCCGAAACCGCATACTTCCATACTATACAGTACGCTAAAATTAGTATGCGAGCCGAGTAGTATGTCCGAATTCATAGAATTCGAAAATCAGTAGGTGAGAAGTACCCGGATGACTTACTACTTCCGGCGAGATTCTGAAGTGCGCATCCCATGCACGCTGCGCTATCCCATGATGCCCCGTGAGAGAATTCCTGAATGGAAGTGAGGAGATGCAACTGACGCAGGTAGTCACATGACCATGACAAAATGGCGGATGTAGTACGTCTGAATTCCATTTATGCTTTTCACATTCATACTGTATGGAACGTACTTTTCTAACGGCCGAGTTGTACGTTTAAATTCAAATGCAGTAACTACTGAGTAGTAGGCGGTTTCGGACGCAGCCTATATGTACACAACAGCTTAACCTTGTTATTTTGAGTAATGTAATAATAAAGTGCACCACTTGTAAAGCTGCTTTGGAGCAATTATTATGAAAGCACTTTATAAAATAAGCTTGAATTATGACAATTCTCATTAGCATTAAATATGTGATATTTCAAGTAATCATTTTAAATACTGAATATATTAAAAATAATAAATAGAAAAAAAAAGATATAACTTCTGTTGACCAAATCTGGGGGAACAAAAACTTTTAGAATCATTTAGATTTTTTGCCTCTTTTATTTTCATTTCTTTTATTTGATAATTACTATGATGTAAGGAGAAACAGATGTTATAAAATACTATAACGTTAAAATCATACTCAAAATTAAACTAAAAATGTATTTGCTTAAAAACATCTTGTGTTTAGAATAATGATTTGATGGGTATAAAAAAAGGTTCATTTATTTAATGCAGGCATCAAAATGGAACATCTTCATGACCCATCCACTTCATCGCTCTTTTATTTGATCCCTTTGTACTACTTTTTCCCCTGTTGGAATTGGCCAGTGGTTTAGTCACATCAAGTGCCATTAAAGTTTGTCGAGCAGCACCAATTTTAAAAGCTTAATGCATGATAGAATTTATTCAGTACATACACAATGGATGTGTCCATTTCTGAATGTGTGTGTGCTTTAATCTGTCTGCTCTGGTTAGCAGTATTTTCAGTGCAGTACTGTAGGGCAGGTCAGCCAGAGGCCACACACAGCAGCAAAGCCTTATTTAAGAGAAACACAGACTCACTAATTAAACACTTTCCTTCAGTTTTTCTTTTTCCTTTCAATAGTCCCAATTTACTTCTACTCCACATCTATCTATCTATCTATCTATCTATCTATCTATCTATCTATCTATCTATCTATCTATCTATCTATCTATCTATCTATCTATCTATCTATCTATCTATCTATCTATCTATCTATCTATCTATCTATTAATCTATCATCTATCTATCTATCTATCTATCTATCTATCTATCTATCTATCTATCTATCTATCTATCTATCTATCTATCTATCATCTATCTATCTATCTATCTATCTATCTATCTATCTATCTATCTATCTATCTATCTATCTATCTATCTATCTATCTATCTATCTATCTATCTATCTATCATCTATCTATCTATCTATCTATCTATCTATCTATCTATCTATCTATCTATCTATCTATCATTCTTTTGTTCTGTCTATTGTTCTATCTATTATTGTATCAAACTATCTATCAATCTATCTATCAATCTATCTATCCAACCATCCATCCATCCATCCATCCATCCTACAATAAAACTGGTTCTTTTGAAACATTGCCAACTGGACGAAAGCGGGAAGAGCAGTTGGCCCATATTCAGAGCCTATTTTCACATGAACACAGCTTCAGGTTCTCCCTCCACTCCTCTTTCCCCTATCCTTCTATTTTTCTATATTCGGCACTTTTCACTGAAACCAGAGCTCTCTCTCAGTTCATTATTCATCGGCCTGTCTAAGACGAGAGTGTGCATTCAGGGGCCTGGTCTACTCTCTGACTTTCAGATCATTAGCACACTTTATTCCTACCTAAAGATGAGATGTTCAAAACCAGTTTACGCATTGTGCCCATTCACAAATTTAGGTGAATTTTAAGTACATAAATATGTTCTTTATGTTTCCTTTTTATCATGTGTTGCCTCCAGTACCTGAAAGAAAATGACTGATATTGTATAAAAGCTTCTTACAGTGTAGTATATTTTAAGGTGACTCAATTATAATTTTTAATGGTTAAACCACACCCGTTTAAGAGTCTTCTCTTCTCTGATTGGTCAGAAAATTGGCTTGTGGTTGGTCCATTGTGTTTATCCTGTCTGATTTCCAGCTTAGTTGTCATGTTCATGGGCAGCCAATGAGGACCATTATCTGCTGTTATGCAAATCTGTTACAAAGAGGTTAATGCTGTTTTAAATTCAGCAGCGAGAGTGGCTCTGTGCTCTTCCAATAGGTTAGCCACTGCTAACATGCTAATCTCGCTTTAGGTCACAGGTGCGGCATCTTTGGTCGCATCTTTCCTCGCTTGTTTGACTGATTTTGATGTAATTTTCTGCTATCTATCTATCTATCTATCTATCTATCTATCTATCTATCTATCTATCTATCTATCTATCTATCTATCTGTCTGTCTGTCTGTCTGTCTGTCTGTCTATCTGTCTGTCGTTTGGTCTGTCTGTCTGTCTGTCTGTCGTTTGGTCTGTCTGTCTGTCTATCTTTCTATCGTTCTATCTATCGTTCTAGCTTTAATTGTTCTATGTTTAGCTGCTACATTAGAATAAAGAGGAATGTTAGTTAGTAAGAAAAAGTCATCTTTCTGGACAATGAGCCAGACTATTCCATCCGCATCCAAAACTAGAAGCCACGAATCTGTTACAAACCTATATACTATATACTGTAAATAGTAAGACTGGAATTGTTTATGATTCATTTCAGAGAAGACTGTTGTTTCTTTCTTTTTATACACAGTAGACCATATTTGATAACATTTTACGCCTTTTGCCATTAAATAGACCTGTCATGATATCTATGTTTTGCTGTATGATATATTTGCACCAAAATATTCAACGATAAACGATATTATTGTCACTTTAAGACCATTTTATGCCACCTATTATATAATGCCAGAATGACAATATAATATCAGATTGCAAGTACTCTCTTCCAAAGAACACATACTATTTATTCTTAATAATATTTTATTAATTCATTCATTTTATTTTTGGCTTAGTCCCTTTATTAATCCGGGGTCCCCACAGTGGAATGAACCGCCAACTTATCCAGCACATGTTTTATGCAGCGAATGCCCTTCCAGCTGCAACCCATCTCTGGGAAATATTTAATTTAATTATAGTCATTTTAACTGTTTAATAATTAGGCATTGGAATCAGAATGTGAAAACATATACAGTACACCCCAAACTAATAAATAATAAATGTTATGTTGGTATTCAATACATTTTTATGAAGTAGGTTATCTTTGAAATCATGAATACCTATTATTAGCACTCCCACATACTTGTCTATCCCATTCTTACCCTTGGTGGAAATACTATTTGCCACTACTCTATTTTGTGCTGCAGTTACTTCATTTGTGGAAATGTATACTGTAAAAATTTCTTGCTGTCTTAAATTTAATATAGTTCAATCAAATTAACTTTCAACTTTTTTTAACTTAACAAACCGACAAAAAAATGTTAAATTAAAAAAAAATAAAATAAAATGTAAGTTAAACTTTGTGTAATTTAACACATTTAGTTGAAACCTGATCTATGTTGATAAAAGCAACAAAAATATTAAACTTTTTGTCATTACATTTTTTAACTGTGTAAATTTGATTTTATTACTTTAATATAATTACCCAGTTTGGGAAGTCTGGCTAAATACTATGAACTATTCTCAATAAATTATGGGGCACATAATGGGACAGTTTAAAAACACTTCATTTAAACCTCACATTTTCTTTTTGTCTTTGTCTTTCCCCCAGAACCAGGTGAGCTGTGCCAGTCCTTATCTAGAACCAAAGCACGGCCGGCTGTCATCTACAGAAACGTCCCAGTCTCGCTCGTCTCATGAGGAGTACCGCTCCGAACCTCAAGGAGGGAGCAGCAGTGGAGGAGGCTCTCCAGCTCGGAAGTCCGCCAGCCAGAGGCGTTCATGGCAGGACCTGATTGAAACCCCTCTAACCAGCTCAGGCCTCCACTACCTGCAGACTCTGCCCCTCGAGGATGCTGTGTTCTGCGAGCCGGGAGCAGGTCTTTCTCCTGAATATCGGCGCCAGTCCACTCTGCCTGCCCAGCGCACACTCATGCAGGATCATTACGGCCCTTTCCCCATGCTCCAAGGGGAGAGACTCAGAGACCCTGTTAATGCGGTAGGGAAACCCCGCAGCTTCACCTTGCCCCGGGACAGTGGCCTACATGCCCTTCTCACACCCTCTGCCAGCATGGCAGACCAGCGGGACCCAAACCGCAGGGAGCTCAGCCGCTCTCAACGCATCAATAATGGTGAGTCAATGTATGGGTCTTAAAATAATGCATGTTATGAGGTTGTTGTTTTTTGATTATTATTAATATGCACTTTTGTTATATATGGATTTGTTTAGAGTAAGGCTCTAAAAATCTCTATATAAATATATATATAGATTGTATATTTTTCCCCAATTTCTGCTTAATGAAAAGATTTTTTTAACACATTTCTAAACATAATAGTTTTAATAACTCTTCTCTAGTAACATGACAGTACTTAATATTTTACTATATACTATATATAAATATTTTTAAAAATACTCGTATTCAGAATAAAGTGTCATTTAAAGACTTAATTTGGTTAATTAGGCAAGTTTGTGTAATTAGGCAAGTCATTGTAAAGCAGTGGTTTGTAGACAATCGAAAAAATATAGCTGAAGGGGCCAAAAAATATTGACTTTAAAACAGTTATAAAAATTAAAATATACACATAATCGTGTGTATAAAAAAGAAAATCTAACTTGGAGAGTCTCAAAAACCCTTTTGTAAGAGGAACTACTTTCTTTCGGCATTCATTCACATCTGCAGCTGATGTTAGAACAGCAGAAACCATTGCTACTTCACACACGTCACTTTAAAGCTAGTATTTGAATGATTCTATAGCATAATGTCTAAAGTTATGACAAAACAGGTGATTTTGCTGACATATTTTGATTATAAGGCTGAAATGCCATCGATCTACAGAGATTTCCCAGTATTTCTCTGTTGCAATTGGGATTTCACAATAGTTAAATGCATTGAATCCGATGCTCCAAAATTATACATATTTTAAAATAGGCACTTTTCTTATTAATAAACTGCATAGTTGCATTCTGAACAACTAAATTCTTAACTAAAAAAGCCTCAAAAGTACATTATGTTGTCCAACAGCAGCAATATTTGTCAAACTGTAGAGTGTCCTCTGCTTGTTGCTGTATGTGGGTGAAGTAATACACAAGGGTGAAAGGTGAAGAGGCAGTCAGAGTGCTGTTATTTGCAGAATATCGCACATCACTATCGCACATAGAATATAGTTATCAGCCAATCAGATTCAAGAACCAGACAGAACTGTTAAATAAATATATTTGGAAACAAAAATATGAATAAAAGCAATTATAATTATTGCCAATAATAATTTGTTTAATGATATAATAATTAGTATTAGTAGTAGCAATACTGATACATCTTTTCTATTTTAGGTCACTTTAAGATAAATTAGATTCAATAAAATAAAAAAATGGTTAAATGGGAGATATTATTATTATTATTCCTTTTTTTGCTATTAAAGTTATTTTTTCATATTAATTTTGATAGATTATTTGACTGTCAAATGAAGTCTTGAAATTGCCTTAATTAGATTAATTGTATTAATTACTTTTCATAGTTAATTAACTGTCAAAATCGCTAATGTGAAATCAGTGAACGTGACTTGATCAGGCTTATGCATTAATACTGCTAAATCTGCACCCTTTTATTACTTTGCAACATGGAATGCATCGCATGAAAGAAAACAAACGCTTCTGTTCACATGATTGGTTCAAATCGGTCCACTAAAACCTCTTCACCACATTCGATTAGATTTTAATAACCCCTCTCGTTATGAGAACAGTAGGCACAGCAGAGCTATTTTAGTGCGTGTGTGAATTTATTTGAGAGCCTCAATATTAAATTGTTAAGAGCAGTACTCTCACAGAGGGAGGTGTGCTGGGAGTTGCGGCTCTTTTTCAGTCTGTATCTCTTCGTGTGTTTTTTTTAGCCACAGTGTCTTCCTCATTTTCCCAGTTTGTGTGTGTTTGTGTGTGTTTGTGTGTGTGTGTGTGTGTGTGTGTGTGTGTGTGTGTGTGTGTGTGTGTGTGTGTGTGTGTGTGTGTGTGTGTGTGTGTGTGTGTGTGTGTGTGTGTGTGTGTGTGTGTGTGTGTGTGTGTGTGTGTGTCTGTATGAAGCATAAACAGTGTGTTAGTTGCAGGATTTTTTTAGCTGTGCTGTGAGGGCCCCCACTGAGATCTGTCCACTCGTTTCTTGCATACACACGTGCACATGGTGGCGTCTTCTTCTAGAAATAGCTCCATGCTCTTTCATATGAAACTCATTTTAAGCCAGCAGTATTGCTGTGGTTACCAGCACCTGACCCACTTTACTTTACTTTACTTTACTTTACTTTACTTTACTTTACTTTACTTTACTTTACTTTACTTTACTTTACTTTACTATAGATGGATGGATGGATGGATGGATGATGGATGGATAGATGGATAGATAGATAGATAGATAGATAGATAGATAGATAGATAGATAGATAGATAGATAGATAGATAGATAGATAGATAGATGATAGATAGATAGATAGATAGATAGATAGATAGATAGATAGATAGATAGATAGATAGATAGATAGATAGATAGATAGATAGATAGATAGATAGATAGATAGATAGATAGATGAGTGAACAAGTTATTTGTATATATTCTATATTTACTGTTACTGACATGCTACTGAAATTTTTTAAAAGTTTTTACAATCTAAACAAAACAAGATGTGATATTATATCTGTTTAAATGCATATCAGTGAATAAATTGCTTAATTAATTAATAACATATTAGCATTTAAATTTAGATTTTAGGTCTAATGGGTTGCGGTAGCAAAAAAGTTTGATACAGACAGATAGTTCTGATTGGAATCTGATTCACTATCAAATCAAAGCCAGAAAATATAACCATTTTGATTGCACATCATTTGAGTTCTTTATTATAGTTACCATGTTGCCTGGCAACCATACAATATATTCTCTACAGATATGCTTATGAACTATATTACTTGAGGAATCATTTGAACTATTAATTCTAATGTGACTACCTTTTGAACATGGTCATCTCTTGTTTGTCTGTTTGTTTTTTCTCACTGACATGCTCTGTATTATTAAGGCAAAACACTGCAGTTGGAGGGTAAAAAATAACTAATAATAATCATTATGCTTCCACAGTAGATTTTTTTTATTTTTTTATTTTGTAGCATTATTTTTTAGTTTTAAAAAATTGTATATTATATTTAATATATGTAAATTTTCAGACATATTTGGAACATATGGTATTACTTTATAATCCAGAAAATATTCAGAAAAAAACATTTTCCTATACATTTCTGATTTGTGAACCAGCATCACAAAACCTTGCAATAATCTTTTCATATGTTGCATGGGTATATTTGTGGTAATTCCCAAAAAATACATTGTATGGGTATATATATTTGAAGTCAGATATATTAACCTCCCTGTTTATTTTTTCCCCAATTTCCCTTATTTTACCTTTGCCATGATGACAGTAAATTATATTTACCGGCTACTGTTCAAGATACTTCTATACAGCTCAAAGTGACATTTAAAGGCTTAACTAGATTAATTAGGTTAGCTAAGCAGGATAGGGTAATTAGGCAAATTAATGTATAATGATGGTTTGTTCTGTAGACTATCAAAAAATATAGCTTAAAACGGCTAATAATTTTGACCTTAAAATGGCTTTTAAAAAATGTAAAACTGCTTTTATTCTAACCGAAATAAAACAAATAAGACTTTCTCCAGAGGAAAAAATATTATCAGACATACTTTGAAAATGTCCTTGCTCTGTTAAACAACATTTGTGGAAAAAAAATAAAGATTATACATATATATATATATATATATATATATATATATATATATATATATATATATATATATATATATATATATATATTCATTCATTTTCTTGTCAGCTTAGTTCCTTTATTAATCCGGGGTCGCCACAGCGGAGTGAACCACCAACTAATCAAGCAAGTTTTTACGCAGCAGATGCCCTTCCAGCCGCCACCCATCTCTGGGAAATATCCACACACACACACAAACTCATACACTATGGACAATTTAGCCTACTCAATTCACCTGTACCGCATGTCTTTGGACTGTGGGGGAAACCGGAGCACCCAGAGGAAACCCACACGAACACAGGGAAAACATGCAAACTTCACACAGAAACGCCAACTGAGCTGAGATTCGAACCAGCGGCTCAGCGACCTTCTTGCTGTGAGGCGACAGCACTACCTACTGCGCCACTGCTTCGCCCCATATATATATATATATATATATATATATATATATATATTTTATATTTTATATATATTTAGTGCTTCTTCTTCGGTGTGAGACCCACTTTATTTTGTATATATCGGCAGTGAAGATTGCTGATTTTCTAAAGTAATCAAATCTTAAACGTGGCGATTTTGTAATAGCTCGAGTTCACCGGAAACATTTGGGCTGGCTGGCTGACTGAAAATAAAATATACCACATTGCATTAAAAAAAATTACCCTGATGTCTTTTGTGGTCTATAGTCCATTTGGAGAAAATGTTATTTAATAATAATATCAAACTGAAATCCAAAGACAAATTGACAAACTACTAGAAAAAAAAATGTTTTCTTTAAATTAGACTGAAAAAAGTGCATTATTAAAAATCGACCAGTGAAGATGCAGTGTTTAGCCCGCAGTTTCTCTCCTTAACCACATAGTTAGCAATACATGGGCTATTCATTCTGTCCATCCATCAGTTAGCTCTGCTGTCCAAATAGACACATTTTTCTTCACAAACCTCACAGGAAGCCGCCCAGTTTGCTGCGGGATTACCACTCTGTTTATCTCCACCGTATTACTTTTCATCTTCTCCTCATCTCGCAGTCTATCGCCTCATGGCTCATTGCCATCTCACCATCTTCATTCCCCATCTCGCTTCCCGTCAGCCCTCTTTCCCACTGTCCTGTCCAACTTTCTCTTCTAATATTCCCCTTTTTCATCATTTCATACGGATCTGCAGCAGCAGCAGTCTATATATATAATCCCAGTGGCTTTTAATGAGTCTCCCTCTTATCTGAGTCTTTTATATGGCCGTGTCTGTATCTCTCTCTCTGGAGGAGTTGAGGGCATCTGTTAGTCATCCAGTGCTGTACTACATACTGAAGAGAAAAGAGAAGCT